TGTCTCTAATGTGCAAGCATCTGATTAATGAATAGCTTTCTGGAAGAAGAACGCTTAGTTATTTTGTTACGGCCTCTCAAATGTCTTTGCATAGAAGCGCAATGTTTAAAATTAATTACAACAAGGACGTAAGACTGATTTTAATAAAAGAGCTTTTGGTTACTTCAATTCAGTTTGGTGTTTGTTTTTTTTTTTTTTAAAATTACTTCTCAGAGTTTTAAGTTAGATCGCTAGGTTGCTGTTATTTTTAAAGACAAACAACTTCTTTTTTGACTTGCGTGGGAAACGTCACTTCTTTTATGGTTGAAATTCCCCTACGCCAGGATAATACAGAACTTCCTATTTCTAAAATATATCATGTAAATGTTATGGTAAAGGATCTATAGTATGGATATGTTCTTAATACCAGAAACAGTATTTTCAACTTCAGTGGTGTGGATGGATGTGCGAATGCTTTGTAATACATAAATCAACAGTAAAATGGATTAAATGCAGAGTAGTCCTTCCTGCCATTTTGTGTCTCTGGCTTTACAAGTTGAAAGAGCAGAATAATAGCTAGTATACACATTTCCTAGTCTAGAGACAGACACTGACCTTTCCCTCGTTTAGTTTATAAATACACATCCATCTAATGCTGTCAGATAATGTAAATTCTGCATGTCTCTGAAGTCCCAAATTTTGTAAAGGAGATTGATATATACCATAGGTTATAAAAAAAAAAAGAGAAATTTCAGCAGACATATTTCTTGACTTTAAAGGTTGGGGTTTTTGTGAAATAACCACTATTACTGTAATTAGCCATGTATTCTTTAAAGGAAAGAGGGTTTATGGAATTTGCAGTATAACTTTCTGACTTAGAGTGTTGCTCCGACTAATCTAAAGTAAGAAAGGATTGAGCTATGGGATTTGTACGCCAGTGCCACTACACTGTTGTTGGGCAGTGGTTCACAGTTTGATTAGGGACGTAAATCTTGGAGAACAGATTTCAAGGAAATACCTTGTTTCTGCATTCAGCAATGAATGTGCAATTGGGGAAACTTACTTTATGATGTTGCCTCTTTTTTCATTATTTACCGAGTTTTCATGAACTGAGTACACTTGTATGCATTAAATTCAGATGTAATGTCGCAGTTAGGTGTTTCTGCTGAAACGGTTTCAGAAACTGTGAAATACACTCAAGATAAAAACAGGTCTGATGAGGATCTGCCTGAGAATCCCACTGAAGTCAGTGGGAGGTTGCACTGCCTTCCCAAGCAACTCTGTCAGAGCTAAAACAGTACAGAAATAACCTTTAAAACACTACTACTAGTACTACGACTACTACTAAAACTATGTATATTATGCAGAGTATCTGGGTCATAAAAGTAGTGTGGGCAGTTTTTTTACTATTCCGGTGCGGGACTTGCTTAGTCGTTCAGTGCTAATTGGTGCTGGCGGTTTTACCAGGCTCCGTGTACGCCGCGGGGGGCTGGGGAGCGCGTCTCCAGGGGTGCAGTGCCCCGGCATTCCCGCCTCGGAGCTGGCTCCGCCGGGCTGCTGCCTGCGTGCTCTCCTTTTGCCCGATGTATGCAAAAGGACAAAATGGAGAGAGGGGTCTCCTTGCTTTTACGTGCGGTCGCATGGGTGTAGTGGGTACAGTTCCCACAGGGCTAGAGTGCAAAACCAATTTGGTTTGTTTGGTTTGTTTTAACTAAAGAATATTTTTCTTTAACTGATCCTTCGCTGTTATGTGGCCAAGATGTTAATTAGCTCATTGTTTCCGCTTAATTTTGCGACAGTGCTATAATTATATCCTTCAATTGTGCCATGAAGTAATTGCGGTATTTTTTCCAAATTTTGTGTTGAGATACGTTATTGGTAAACTTTGAATTTGGCAGAGGTGTTTTGAAAATACTGTAAGGCAGTCAGTAATTTTTGTATTTCTTTATTTAAAAGACAGCCATTTGGCAATTTCAAGCTTTGAGACTGTACTGTCAATGTAAATAGAATATTGATTTTATTCCATTTCCTATCTCATTAGAGTCATTGTCATGAGGATGGATTCATGTTGTGTAATTATCTGTTCTTGCTGACAGTTCTCATGTCATTGAGATTGGCGTTTTCAGCTTCCACTTTCTCTGAGCGTAAAAATAGCATTGTTCACTGCCGTGTTCTTCTTTAGTGTTGTGCTTTTTGCCTGTCCGGCTTTATACATCTTTCTTTCTGAGAAATGTGTGTGAGCTGAGGTGGAGAAAAATGGGAATGTCCAGCAAAACCAGTTGCAGGAAGAGTGAAAACATTGGCTCCTCGGGAGCAGTTCCCAGGGCAGGGACACCCCTGTTCAGATAACTTGTTTTTGTGTCAAAGACTGACGGGAAGAGCAGGAAAAACATATTATTAACCTGGCTGTACAACATTTCTTTATAGCAATAACGGGAAGTAATAAAAATGGAACATATTTAATCAGAACTTAGAAACCATCATCACATGGGCCCTTCTGTGTTAGTTTCACTTTCTCAGGCATTTCCAGATAGCCTCCCCATTGATTTGTGAGCCTGTTTCTTAATTGTTTTCATTGACCCAGCTCAGCAGACAACTAAGTCATCTCTCTTATCCTCCTAAAGAATGACTTCTCAGTGTTACTTCTTTTGTCTTTTCTGAGAATCACTTTTTATTTTGCTTTCAATATTTTTAGCTTAATTTCCCTTGTATTCCCAATAAACAGTGAAGGTAAGGCTATGCTTTGTCCAAAGTGATGTTGCAACAGTCTCAAGACAAGTAGCAAATACTTTAAAATTTCAAAAGGTGAACTTCAAAAACCAGCTGTGGATTAAGAACAGCCTTCAGTACTGACTGGCCTACTAGGCGGAGCCTGGAACCTGTCAGCCCCCAAATAACTTTTAATTGAATTTTGAAAAAAATAATAAAAATCAACTCAACCCCTTTCCTGTCCTCTCACTATGGTTCCTCCCCCTGGATTTGTTGCAGTCTTTCCTAGCTTATCAGAGACAGCCCAGAGAGAGACATCACATGTATCTGCTGAGGCTTTTTTGCAGACAGTGGTGTCCGTTAGTATTTGAGGCTTATTAGGAACTCCTTACTGACTTGGAATATCACAAGAAAATTTTGAAGTGAGGGGAAAATATCTTATGCAGATAAAAAAATCTATGCTAGCATTTTCCTTTATTTAGTGGGGATATTGAAGATATACCTCTGGTCTGAAGACAGTATTTTTGCTAGAAGGCTATTTTTAAAGCTGACATTTCTGGCTATGTTTTCAGGTAGATAACAAATTCTGACAAAACAATTTTTGTTCAAGTAACTGTAGAGACAAAATATATATCTAGCATTTCTTCATATTCAGAAGATTTACCTCTGAGGCATCACAGCTCCTTGGAGTAATGCTTTTCTTTTTGTAGCTGGCAGCCTGAAGAATGAAGGGTGAAATTCAGCCTCGTTTAATGCAGTTACAGATATTTCAGTGACCTCAACAGGAGCAGGATTTCGCTGCGAGTAAGCGGCTAGTCTGACTCCAAATAGAAAACTTATTACGAAGCTAGGAATAAAACATAGTTTCATGACTTCTACCAGGAAGATCATTCCTTTCGTTACATGTGAGGACAAAAGATAGTTTTCATTTTGTACCCTGCCTTCATGCTTTCTTTCCTTGTTAGGGGTGACTACTCTTGTAGCGAGAGTGAAATCAGATACCTTGTTTTGAAAATCTGGCCTTTAACTTGCTTCTGCTTTAGCATGTAAAATATATCAATTGCTGCTCTAACTCTTCTTGGTGTTTGGAAAAATCAATGCTCGGTATGGATTGTGTACCAGACTGAGGAACAGGAGCAAATGCCTGCTTAGAGCTGTCCCAGAGTTTTGTTGTAGAGCTCTTACGCCCGCATCGGCACTGCCCTCTCCTGAGGGTCTCGCAGGGAATGAACGTTCATAACAAAATAGCACGCAGAAGCCGTCGTTTTGTGCTGTGCGAGAGTGGTGGGGGGAGGAGGCGGGTCCGTCCGTTGGCGGTGTCTGTGGAGGACAAGGACGGGTTGCGGTGCAGGGTGGCTGGGGGCCGGGCTGATGCGTCGCGGCTGATGCCGTGGAGGGCAGCCCCACACGAGCAGACGGGGGTGCCTGGAGCCCGTCCCACGGGGGGGTCCCCGCCACCGTGAGGTCCCGGCCCGTTGTTCTGCACTTTCCAGTCTGTTGGTGCGAACCCCTCATGGCTGGGTAGCGGGGCGCAAGCGGGGGAACCAAACTCGTTTGCCCGAGCGCTTGTTACGGAATGAGTTTTCAAGAGCCGAGTCTGCTGTATCCCCAGGTGCTGATCGGTAGCGACTGCTGGCACTGGATGACGGCGGCTTCTGAGCTTTAGGCAGTTGAAGCAAATGAGTATCTGTGTTTATCAAGACACCTAGCTGTTAACTTGCGCTTGCAGGTAATTACGCGCAGTTGTTTGTCTCCTGCTAGCAGGGATTAAAAGTGTGGGTATGATTAGAAGTGTCCTGGCAAGGAAACCACGGTGCCTGTTATAATCTTATTAGCTGTATTAGGTGTGCTTTACTTCTCTAGTGTGTTGCTCTAACCGCTTAGTCCCTGGAAAAAGACTCTTTGCAGATTTTCCTCGTCTGTTGGTTTGCATCCACGCTGACCCAGCGTGGCTTCCCAAGATGTTTCCGATGACAGCGTCAGCGATGCTGCTCTCCAGGGGCGGGGGCGGTGGGAGATACGAAGAAATACGAAGGTGGGAAATCCAGGGCAGTGTCTTTAGAAGGCAGGGCTGGGACCAGCCTTCCCGCCGATGGCAAGGCGGGCAGGTGATGTCCCAGGGTGGGCACGGCGGGGGCAGGCCTCTGCCCCCTGCTCCAGCTGGGACGGGAGCTGCAGTTATTGCCGAGTTGTGTTTACACGTGGCACTGGAATTCCGGGGCGAAGCTGCGCATCTGAAACTCCTGTCGCAGAAACGGCCCTTCCCCCTTGGCGTCTGAGGGGGGAGAGGTTTCACTACCCCCTCAGCCCTAGGTGTTAAACGCCCGGGTGGGTTTGGGGTGGTGGTTTTTTTTTTTTTTTTTTTTTGGTTTTTTATTTTGAAGCGAGTGGTGTCCATCGCCACGGTCGCGGTTCACCTGCAGCGTGTTGGCGGGAGGAAGCCGGGCTCCTTCCCGCGGGCGGCAACTTCGTGTGGGAGCGACGTGGGGCGCGGCCGGGGCCGGGCCTTGCGAGGGAGCGGGCGTTCCGGGTCCGTCCTCGGGCGGGAGCGGGGGGGGGGGGGGGGGGGGACGGGCAGCGCCGGGGCGGGGCGGGGCGGCGCGCAGGGCCGGCGGCCGGTACCGTTCGCGCTGCCGTTGCCCGCGCCGCCGCCATGGCCCGGCCCCCTCGCTGCATGCCGGGTAGCGCCCGGGCCCACCCGCGGCTGCTGCGGCGGCCGGGCGAGCCCCGCCGGGCGGGCTCGGGGCAGCGGCTGACAGGCGCGACCTTTCATAAGACGGCCCCCGCCATTGGCTTCCTGCCCGGAGTATCGCTGCAACGCTCCCCGCGATTGGCTCGCTCCCGCTCATGCCTGGCTCCGCACGGGGAAGCGGCCCCTCTCCCCCGCGGCTGGCGTGAGTGCGGGGCGGCGGCGGCTCCGCGGGACACCCCGAAATGCCGCCCGGCGAATTGTAACGTGTCTCTTCTCTCTACAGGTTGGTACTAAGAAGTGCCTTTCCTGACGTCTCTGCTGCTTGGGACCGCTTCTAGAGCAGCCGCTGCTTTTTGCCTTGCTTGCTGCCAGCTAGACTGCGACGACAGCGCATCCGCCCGCCACCTCTAGCCAGACACCCCCACTGCCACCCAAAACCGAGGGAGAGGCGCGATCGGGCCCTGCCCTAGGCTGCTTTACTGCAAAAAATAAAAGTTTGCTGAGAAGGTCAGATATCTTCTGCCCGAAAATCAAGGAGAGGAGGAGGAGGAGGAGGAGGAGGAGGAGGAGGAAAAAAAAAAAAAAAAAAAAAAATTCCGATCTCAATCGTTGCTCTAAACTGCTGCATCTGTCTATGCCAAACTAATCGATACCGATTGCACCACAAAACCCCGTTGCAAATTCAGCTGCGTGGAGATTACCTTTCAGACAACTTTACTGAGAGCAGCTTGGAAAATCCCCTGTCAGAGGGTCTGCCACGTTTTCATGCTTGCAGTGTGGGCTCCGGTTGGCACTCAGGATGGGGTACTGAGTGCACGAGGCTAGTCCCGGGCCCCACTTTTTAATGTCCACCTTGCTGGTAATCCTAGCATTACTCTGAGTACAAAACCTCTGTCGATTAACAGTGTCACGCTGCGAACTCCTGGTGGCACATCTTTTCCTTGAGATTGTGGCCACCCTATTTTACACGTACTTTTAAAATAGGGAGTGGGGGAAAAAAAAAAAAAAAAAAGAAATTATTCTGGAGGTGGCGCTTTCATCATTTCCAGTTTATCAGTTCAGCTACTCGTTTGTCCGTTTTATTGGAAATCTTAACTACCTGTAAAATCTAAAGATGGCTGTGAGTGTCACGCCAATTCGGGACACAAAATGGCTAACGCTGGAAGTGTGTAGGGAGTTCCAAAGGGGGACTTGCTCACGACCAGACACGGAATGTAAATTTGCACACCCATCGAAAAGCTGCCAAGTTGAAAACGGACGCGTAATCGCCTGCTTTGATTCATTGAAAGTGAGTAAATATTATATTATTTTCAAGGATATACAGTTAATGAAAGAAGCAGTTGTAGCCAGAGAAACCCTGCAACCCAAAAGGGAGCAGTTGCTGGCTGCCAGCAGTGGGATGTTTTGCTGCTTTTATTTTACTGATGCTTGTTGATTTGTTTTGCTGTTTTCCTCAGGGGAAGGGGGAACGAAGGGAAAAATATGCCTGGCAGGGCTCAAATCCCCGGGTATGGCTACAGCGACGGGTTCTTTGCCTCCAAATTATCCTCCGCCTGTAGCTGGAATAAAGGGCACTTCACGTAGAAACAGCAAAGTCACTGTAAGGATTCTTTGTTTTTAATAGCACAAACCACGTAAGCAATATGAGGATTTGTTTCCATCTCGTAACTACCAGTGGGTTGTTGGTGTCTCTGGACAGCTGATGGTGAATCTTAGAAGAGTGTTTCCCTCCCTGGGCTATTCGGGTGTCTGTGGGCACCCTGCTTGTGTTTCTGTCTTTGGGACTGCTGTGGTTATTCTGTCTTTTTTCACAAATGCACTTGCTTAAGGGAAGGACGGCGCTTAGCAGAAGGCAAGGTGCCTCTGGATGTGCCAGCAGGGCTGTAGCAGAGAGGCTACGGCCTCACCGTGATTTTTAGGAGGTGTATCCAAGTCAGGTGCTGTAAATGTGTGGCTGCTGTTTCACTGTAGCTTCAGTAATAGGTGTTAAATGTGAATCCCAGCCCAGTCCCTTCATTTTTTATGAATCAAATAATCTTCACATTTAAAATACTCATCCCACAAACAGTACGGAATTAATTCAGTAGTCATTAAAAAAAAAAAAAAATTATCAAAAGTTGGGAAACAGAAATACGCCTGTCGGATTTTCTACAGTAGAATTTTCTCTTCTTGGGACCAAATCCCAGGAAGTGGGGCAGAGCTCGAGTGCGTGGAGTTGGCCTGTGGCAGAGACAGGCTCTGGGGAGGGAGTTGTAGCTGGAACCAGCTACTGCAGGTCGCTTGTGCCGCCAGGCCCCGATCGCGGCAGGAAGTGGGTTTATAGCAGTTTTATATAAAAATCCTGCAGCGTTCCTGAGTTTAAAAATGTGTGAACCTTTAAAATGCTTTTGGGCCTGGAATACCCAGCCCCACCACCCCCAGCCATGTTCTAACTCACGGATATCGGAGTGAGTTTGTTTCTGTGTTGTCCAAGTTTATTTTAAAATTACAGTAATTATCATGCACGTGGGGGGGGGGGGAAGAAAAACTCATTTTAAAATGTGGAAATAAAATGTTTTCTATGCATTAAAAAAGTCTTGGCGTTAGGAGCAGTGCCGGGGGCCGCCGGCACGGATGGGGAGTCCCGGCCCCGAGGTGTTGCCCTCAGCGGAGGAGTGGCCACCAGCCCTGGGAGGCAGCGAGCCCGCCTGGCGCTTCCTCTTCGCGGCGAGGCGTCCTCATCGTCATCGTCGTCTGCGGGGACGGCGTGCCCGCGGCGGCATACCTGCCGGGGACGGGGGGCCTGCCCGCGGGGCTTGGTCCTGCCCCTGCCCGAGAGGTTACGGAGCAGCAGTTCCCGCAGGACCCCCCGCTTCAACTCCCCCGCCGAGCCGCTGCTTGGCCGCAGCGGCCTCACCCCGCCGGCCTGGCACTTGCCAGGGCGAGGGTCCAACCAAAAAGGGTGAAAGGAGAAAACGGAGTTAATTGGACGTGAATCCCCTTCGCTAGGGGAGGCATCGCCCGCGTTCGCTGTACGTCAGCGTCCTCCGCGCAGATTTCTGGCCTCCGTGGTCGTTGGAAGTGCTCGGAAATGTCGGTGCTGGGCGAGGAGGCGGCGGGAGCTTGTGTCTGGGGGAGAGACGGAGCGGGGACTGGCCGGGCTTCCCCGGCGGCACGGCTGGCTCTTCTCTTGCCGTCAGCAGGGCTCTTCCGTTTCCTTTTTTAAAGGAGGAGATAATTATCACCTTTGTGAAGAGCGGCAAGGGCTGTGCATAATAGCATTACAGCATTATTACATTGCTTCAGAGTCCTCTGTGGGAGAGTCTTCTGCTGCCCATGTAAAGTCAGCGCAGTAGCCGAGTTGGAAGCCGGGAAGGAAGCTGCTATTTAAAAACACCCTGCTTCCCAGATAGGTTTACCCGCGTTCCTGCTGGAAGGTTCACTGGTGGCCGAGGTGGTGGGCCGCCCTGCACCCACCTGTGTCAGCCAGCTCCTGAGCTCGCTGGGGTTTTTTTGTTGTTGTTTGGGGTTTTTTTGAGCTAAGTAGCTTGTATAATGCATGAGAATAACTTTAGTAAACAGAAAATGGAAAACATCCCGTCAATGAATTCCCTGTCCAATCCAGAGAGCAGAAGAGCAGTTGCTCGATTTTGGTTTTGGTTCAGTTCTGTGGCAGTTTTGGTGTGCGCTGAGCTAAACACACACTGGGTACTTTGTTACCTTTTCTGAAATATCATAAACTTTAGATGTTATACAAAAACTGTTTAGGGACAAGTTATACCAGATTTGTCTAGGCACTGTAAGGTCAGCTAATAGTTTACCAAAGTTTAAAAAAAAAAAAAAAAAGAAAAAGATTTTTTATTAGGGCATTCAAAAATAATTTTTAATATTTCAATATTTCAGTGGAGATGTAATACTCTTGCTATTTTACTAAATAGCAGTACACCTAAAAATTGACCTTAATATCAAAATACTTGATTTATAAATGTACGTCATATTAGTATTAACTACACAGCTCTTCTTGCATTGTCTCTTGGACATAAGACAGATACTTAGTTACTGACTTTTTCTGTACAAACTGTGGGTGCATCTTTCACCCATAGTGCTCCCAAGAATTAGTGTTAGCGTGGCTTAGAAAAAATGCTTGATTTTAGTTGCCATCAGGCAGGTGTGTGCGTGCTGCAGCGAGCTGCGGCCCCGACAGCAATCCTGGCTGCTGAGCTGGAGATGGCCGGTGTGCTCTGCTATATTTAGAACATAAACAGGCAAAGCAAATACTTTCTGAGGGGACCCCGTGAAATGGCAGTACCCTTCAGCTCTGCCCGGCCAGGCTTTGGCCCCTGTCCCAGGTGTCCTCCGCGGGTGCTGTGCAGGGACGGCGCACACAGCCGGCTCATTGGGTCTGCTCGTGGGAGGGAAAAATAGATTTTAGAAGTGGAACTTTCAGCTTGGGTGCAATACTTCCTATTTTTTTTTTTTTTTTTTTTTTTCCTCTCTCTCCCTCCTGCCTGTGAAATGAAAGCAAAACTGTGTATGCAGGTCTAGAGCAAAAAGCGAGGGGCACCCGCTCCCGAGAGCCTCTCCTCCACGTTGTGCCGGCAGCGGTGGCACCCCAGCCCCGGGCTCGGCACGTGCGCGCCCTCCAGCATCGCCCCGAGTTCTGGACTGGCAGCGAGCAGAGGTTCTCGCAGGGTAATTAGGAGCGACGGGGAGAAAAAGGAGGACACATACATGTCTGTGCCCTCGGCGAGGTGGCGCGAGGAGGAGGTCAGGGCCGCGTCAATCAGAGCAAGATTTTATCATCCTGCTGTTGAATACCCTGCTTCATGCTCAGTCCTACTGAAATCTGCAAGGCTGTCCTTGGGATAGTGCATTAATCAAGATAAATGTGTGGGGGATAATCTAGCCCTTAGATATTAGGAGGATAATTTTAAAACAAGAATGATTATGTAGTATATTCAAATCGTGCGCTTGAGTGGCTGAGTCAGCTCCAGCTCTGGCTCTGCGTTGTTTAAATGCCATAGGATTTTTTTCCTAAATTTGGATGCCTAAGAGCCTGTTAAACTGTCTACGGCAAAAATAAGCTCTTGAGTTCCTAAATCAGGAAACCAGTTCGCAACAGAAATTAGATTTTTAACATAATTTTAAGACATTTTTCTTCATTTTTCTGCTTGGAAA